GTTGCTGGGCCAGGTCCGTGAACTACATCAACCTAGTATTGATTATTTTCTAACCTCCCAGCTCTCCTTCCCTCCTGCCTTCTCATCACGCTCGGTCCTCTCACCCGTCTGACGAACCTGCCAAATAGTAGGGAAATGCACAAATAGCGTGCTACATTGCTAAAAGGATCGACATAACCTACCTTTTCTTATTTTCCAAAACGATCTTCGTATTTCTTTTCCAAACGTCCCCTTTCTAGGAGCCATTAGCAGTTGTGAACTGAAATTTTTATTCTAAACCCACGATTTCCGACCCACGGGTTAGAGGAACTTATGCCTTGTTTATGATTTGCACTGGAGGGAGGTGAACGTTTTAATTTTTTAAAAATTATCCATTTCGTGTATTATTTTTAACTTGGCTTGGTGTCACGCCTGCGTCCAGAGTTTCAAAATTATACAGCACGATTTCCTTCTAAGAAAGGTCTTGCAACCCTTCATACAGTTGATGGGATATCAATTAATAATTATGAGATTTGGCAATGGATATTTATTACGTAACTTGCATTAACAGGTGTATGGATATAATACTTCTTAAATGGCCCTCTTAATGACTAAAAATTTATCTTAGTGACAAATTTTGCACATTTTTCGATGCGACTCTTGTGAGATTTGACGTAATTCATAGCCGTTGCTAAATTTCGTAAGCATTACCTTGCATCTCATCATTCCCACCAAGGATTGTGTGGTCTTGCTGAGATGAAAAGCATACACTGCGTGATTTTAAAACTCGCGAGGTGGGGGTGACAATAACTTATGTTCGAACTAATACAAGAGATGGTGACTTTTTTAAAAACCGAGATGTGCACCTTCTTCCGGTATACATCTGCAACAAGACATAATTCCATCCAACATTAGTACAAAAACCAACTATTTTTGCATAGATTCATAAAAAAGGATTGGTTTGAACGGGCAGCAAGCCTGATGGAAAAACCCACACCATGTAAATAATCATTTTGTGCGAGCGTTAAGTGCCCTGGATTTATGTTGCATGCCAAACAGTATTGGAACCCTAGTTAAGCAATTAAACCTAAGTGAAACCACACATTGACAATTCCACCAGTGGTTTATGAGCTTCGTTGCTGACTGCGTGTATTGCGTCCTCATTCCAGTTCCCACTTTGACTTAACTTCAAATTAAGCTTCGCCATTGGTTGTTCAAGTGTCCGCGCCTGCAACAAAGTGTGAGAGACTGAAACATATGGAATGTGACTCGAGGTAACTAAGTAGGTTTTCAAAGAAATTGCATACTGAAGTACCTGCTGGGTTGACAAACAGATTACCAAAGGCAGTGCCCATAGCTAACTCACTGACCATTTCGGGCAATCGTTTGCAAAATCCCGGGAAACAGATACTAGTTAAATACTGGCTTTCTACACCCTTATAAAATAGGTTCAATTTCCATTGAATTGTGCAAAACGTTTATTCATTATGCCCATATCGAAAGCAATGTCACCTTTAGTATAGGCGGCAACCGAAAAAATGGATAAATATGTTTCTAAACGACTTGGAAATTTTGAAACGCGCGTATTATTGTTCATATAGTCCTATACCAGTATGCGAATTTATGTAGTTTATAAAGTATGTAGTATGCCTCACATCTACTGACATCCTTAGAGCCAAAAGGCCTCCTTATGGGATATGAAAATATAGGAATTGCTTTAGCGAGAGAGTATAAGGTACAGTAAGTGACTGATTTCATGAAATGTTGGCTGAAATTCTGAAATGCGTTTTCGATTGGGAAGGATTACTTGGATGTGGTTATAACACTGACTAGCTTACGGCATAAACCTATAATATTTCGGACTTGACAGCATGTCGGCTTTTGAATTCATTGTTTTTCAAACTCCTGTACAAACCGTACCTGGTTAAAAAATGACTACTTAAGTAGCATGCATTTTGCTTATTGATAATCGATGGTCTTACGAATTCAAATATATTTTATAGAAACAACGGACAATGACATTCTTTCTTTTAGTCGTTCGATAAAGACTCCTGTCGTCTTTATATTTTATACTTGATGAAGAAATATAATTAGATTTCAAAAAAAGTTGTCTAATTGCAGAATAATTTTGACCCTGATCAGTCGTTGCACTAGCAATTAGTAAGTTCAGTCTACAAGTCGTATGTGCTCTGCGTAATGAAAATCACATATTCTTCTACTCCATTAGAAATATATTATATAGAGTCCAAAAACTTTACGATGGATGCAGACTATGTTGTATTTTTCATGAGGAGCAGTGGCAGATGGACAGGTACGATGCCGTATGAATAGACATTGCGCGGTTTAAAAAAAACTCATAATTGGAAACTTTTTTAAAACCTAATTATATTTCGTCTTCGAGTATAAAATATAAAGATGACGTGGTGCTCTATGGAACGACTGAAAGAAAGGAATTTTTGTCCGTTGCTTCTATAAAATATATTTGAATTCGTAAGACCATCGATTATCAATAAGCAAAATGCATGCTACTTAAGTAGTCATTTTTTAACCAGGTACGGTTTGTACAGGAGTTTGAAAAGCAATGAATTCAAAAGCCGACATGCTGTCAAGTCCGAAATATTATAGGTTTATGCCGTAAGATAGTCAGTGTTATAACCACATCTAAGTAATCCTTCCCAATCGAAAACGCATTTCAGAATTTCAGCCAACATTTCATGAGATCAGTCACTCACTGTACATGTTGGACGGCTTAAAAATGAGGTGAAGCACACACCGCGATATACTCTGAGCGGAAGACAATTGGACAACGTTTAATGAGAGCACGGTTTCCCCTTCATTCTACCATGAGGAACTAAAAACACTTACTCAAAAATAATATATAGGTATTTTGGTCAACCGTCAAACGACCGAACACATAAATACCACTCAAAGCACACGCGATTGTTAAATGCTTTAAAAAATAGAATTTCCTCTTTCCTTAATCGCCATAACTAAGTTCTACGCTTTCTGTAGTAGAAGAATAGTAAATGCAAAGTACTTCAAATCAGAATGAGGAAAATATCGAATATACAGAGGCAGTAATGCACACTGGACTAATGCAGACTGGCTGACGACGGATAATAAGCCAGAAATGACCATTCCATTCTCCCTTGTCTTTGTCGGCAATAACATTCCGCCTATATCATGCGCCGTTGTGCGGCCGCTGGTTGACTCGAGAGAGAGCCCGTAAGGCACAAGGTGGGGAGAAAGTTCCGTAAAAACGATCAGTAGGCGCCCCTTTACCAGACTACATAAATATTAATTTTTACAAGGAATGGTTTCGCAGCCAAGGTGCTGTCTGTGGTAAATGATCCTGATACTCGTCAGTATTTCAGCCTCGTACAAGCGGTATTTTTGAACTTTAAAACTCTCGCAACGTGTCCAGTTCATTTATCATAGTGCAGACCCACACTCTATCTCTTTCCGCCAGTACGAAACTGTCTTGCATACCGTACTTTCCATGCACTCCACGCATGTATATACATACATATAGTTACACATATAGGTATATGTACTCCATCTTCATTTTTAAAAATTGCCCTGGATTGGCGAGGTCCCCAAGGGCAGCTGGGGATCAGCGATAAAACCAAGTTCTTTGCATACCTAAGGCAAAAGTGGCCTAAAGGCAAGCTGCGACATTAAGTCCTTTTCCTGAAAAAGTAACCGTCTCGCAAATGGAAGTATGATTATATTTTACCCCTACACAAATATCCAATCCCGTATATCAGGGACAGTTCGAACAGTCACTAAATGTTTGTTATTTAGTGAGTGTGTGCCAAGTAGATTGGGTAAAACGATAAAAAAAGTGCAATTTAATACGCGGAACAAAATGTAGGGGTTGACTGGAGTGTGTAAGACGCGACTGCCTCATGGAAATAATTTGGAATTTTGCGGGTACCGTCCCAATTTGCCTGCTTGACGTCCCTTCTGCTAACGTGAAAGTTCATTTTGTGAGCTTAGCTGTTTTTTCAAAAAGTTATTTAAGTCCAGGTCTTTATAGAACTTGGAAGCTGATCGTCATTTCTTGTCATGGGCCGAGTCTGTTTGAAAGTATCAAACATTTCTCATGAGATTCCAAATCCTACTTTGACGCTCCTAAACATTTTTATGGAACATTACAATTCGTTTGCCCAAACTCCTGTGTCATTTTCATCCTTAAGCATCATTTCAACTCTTGAAGAAAATAAATGCAATTCTTCCTGTCCGTAATCATAGGTTCACTAGCACTTAATAAACTTGTGACATTTAACACCACGTCCGTTGGCCCTGTCCGTTGCGCAAGAGCCAATTTTCTGACCACAACAGCAACAACACATTCCAGTGCGTTAAGGTTGTGGCTGCGGTCCTGCAAAATGCATATTTCACAAAGCATGATAAAACAGCTATTTTGGTTAATTAATTGGGCGCCGTCGTGCGGTAGCCCGTGAGGAAAGTTTATTTACGTCCTTTTAAAAGACCGCCTAAGTAGATTGAGCCATTACATTATGTTATTTTAAATAAATTCTCGTTTCCTATCCCAAAACGGAAAGCAGGTTTCTTTCATGATACTACTCACTGCCACACACTGTCTAGGGTTTTTTCGAAGCATCAAAGTTTGTGCATATATTCTCAGACTGAAAGGGCTGTCAAATACGCCAAAGTTGAATTACTCGCATCGCATGTCAATGAATGGACTGCAAAAATATACATTTGTTTTGCCTTCGTTTCTAGTCAGGTCGTGCTTCAAAAATTTCCACGGAAGAATACCGATGCATTACTGTGAACTTATAAAATTATTTCATTCGAAAGGAAAGTGTTAAAAAAGTACACAAACCAATTTTACTTGGTTTTTGTTGCTGCGATACACATCGCGATCATGCTGCTGAAAAACACTGGAAAATGAATTTGCACAACAGTTAGTTTGCAGTAAGTTTGTGTCATTTTCTACCAACGTTGATATACACACGTATTTCGGTTGAACCCTTGAGCATCAACAATGCTATTCAAAAACACTTTCGATGCACAATTCCAGCACCCATGTCTTCGTACTCGTACTTCGTTACGATCATTTCACTGAAGGCGTTCAAGGAGCCCAGAATGGAACCGCCAATCCAGGCAGAAAACTTGCGTTCTTCCGGACCGATCACCTTCACTTTGACGTTCTTCGCCACCAGTCGGGCCATTTCCTGCTGCATGCGCGGCACAAGACCTTCAAACATCGTGCTTCCACCGGACAGGACTATGCTAGAGTAGAGATCCTTACGCAGATCAATATCGCAATTCTCCACTGACTCGTAGGTCACCTCGTGAATGCCCTTGATTTCTCGTCCCACCAATTCAGGCATGAAGAGTGCCTCTGGGCATTGGAAACGTTCTGTGCTCACGGTCAACACCTGACCGTCTGGCATCTCGTAGTGCGCCTCCACAGCATTGCTTTTCTTAGCCCGCATAAGCTCGGTTTCAGGATCCAGTGCCACATAACACAGGCGCTCCTTCATGTCGCGCACTACTTCCATTTCAGCCGAAGAAACAAGGCTGTAACCACGTTTGAGGAGGAGGGTCTTGAAGTAGTCGGTTAGGTCTCTACCGGCAAGATTTAGACGAGTGACAGCGTGCTGGAGTCCATGTCCTTCATAAATGGGGACCAGATGCGTGGCTCCGTCTCCGACGTCCATAACTACCCCAGTAGTTCTTCCGGAAGCGTAAAGAGCAAGGACAGCTTGGATGGCAATATACAGGCCAGGAACATTGAACTTCTCAAACATAACTTCTACCATCTTTTCTCGATTGTTTCTAGGATTCAGAGGAGCTTCAGTTAGGAGAACAGCCTGGTCTTCGGGTCGCACACGAAGCTCGTTTTTAAAGGTGTAATCCCAAATTTTCTCCATGTCATCCCAATTTTTCACAACTCCATATTCGATGGGATACTGTAGGGTGAGAATTCCTCGCATCTTTTGGGCTTCATCGCCTACATAATGGTCCTGCTGGTTTATTCCCACCATCATTTGTGGATTCTTGGGACGGCCGATGATGCTGGGAAACACGCTGATAGGGCTATCTTCACCAGCAAAGCCGGCTTTGCACAGTCCAGACCCATTATCGATCACAACCGGGGCAGAATTGAGCAGCATGCTGTCAGTTGATTGTGGAGCTAGATTACAGGCACCTTAACCCGCGCTTCGCAAACGACTCTAACAACTGAATGAGACCTGGAGTTCCCACAGACACGCACACAGACGCCAAGAGTGCAGCTCTTGTTTGTTGCCGCTAGTGGTTAGCAGGCAGAGTCGATAAGGCTCCCTGCCAATCGGCTGGGGCTGACGTCAGCCAAGAGAAACTGAATCAAAACTCTCAGCGCTCTTTTTCGTTGTTCTCCAATAGAGAGGGCTCTCAGACTGCCATTCAGCACATCCTTTGGCAGCTACGGCAGACCTGAAGAAGCACAATTCGCGGTCTTGGAAGGGCTGCAGGTGACGCCGAAATTCTATGCAAAATCAGAGCATTCGTAGGAGGCAACTAACTGACCTTCACTGTACAATGGGCATTAAAACTCATGACTTTTGACTTAAACCCTTGTATAGGTTGTTTAACAGAATATCTTACTTAGGTGAGGGGAAATATAGCTAATCGTATACCAGAACTCTAAGTTAATCCGCCTCCTCTGAGACCCGCTCTAGCCATTCATGGTAATTAATATTACCCGATTGTGAAAACCTCCGCGGATTTGGAACCCACGACAGTAAGGTCAAGACAGCCAACACTAAACGCCTGACCTTGTGAGGCCCCGGCTGAGAGCTGTGAGGTTAGTCCCATTTGGGTCAAGTTAATGCACAATTTAGAAACTGACCGGGCACACTATTGGCCAGTTGATGAGTGTTTGAACATTTAATGACAACTGTGTAATTCATTCATAATTGTAGAATGCAGCCTAAAAGTAAGAATAGGTGACAAAAATGGCTCTAACAGAAATAAAAATATTATATTTTGTCCAAGAAATAAACAATGTCATAATCTGAAAGGGGTAACAATCGGGAGATGGCATCCAAAAAAATCCGTTGCCTAGAAATAATACCTCTACCAGTGGACTCAAACGCCTTCGTGCTATATCAGCTGTTGCAGGCCTACTTTCACGCACTACTTGGACTTTCCTCGACAGCTAAACGTGGGCTGGTGGAACGAACATCGCAGGAGGTTACATGGACGATGGTCGCTATTACCCATCCTTCCCCATCGTTACACACATACACCTGAATATACGACATACATTCGCGTTATGGCAGTTTAGTACAAAACAAAATCACTTTTAAATAGGATAAGTCTGCACAACATGGGACAGGAACAATTCCCAGGCATCTGTCAAAGACATGGCATTGAGGCCAAAACAAAGACGATGCTGTACTCCGTCTATGTGGGCCCACACAGCTCGATCACATACAGGGCCTGCCTCGTGGAGTTTGCTTTTCAGTCTACTCCAGTATGCCTCAATGGCATTGGTGTGCCGTCCGGTGGTAGGGGTCTTGAAGTTCTTTGAGTGGTTAACAGAGAAATGTAGATAACCTTCTGAGGGAAGACGATTATACGCCTACCACTCGTCCGTTACCACTATACTGCCTTTGGCAATCCATTTTGTAGTAACGGGACGGAGATCGGGCCAACTTCGATCATTCACCTGTTCAAATAAGGCCTTCTGTCAGCTAGTATCGTACATCCCCACCAGCCATCACCCATAAAACCCCTATTACCACCTGTCCCGTAAGACAGGCGGCTTTGGCTAGGCTGATTTTGTTGGGTGACGTCTCCCGATTGTTACCTCTGAAAGGGAACCGCATTCATGAGAATCGGATATGCCTTTTCCGATTGCGCATTGCTCGAGATGCTGTTGACTACGACGGACGTATGCATTCACTGGCAAAATGCCTCAGCAGAGCACTTTTCGAAAGACACCTTAGCTGAGGAAATTTATAACTAGTCAAGAACATATTTTGCGCAAGCCTTCGCTGGAGGTATCATCTTCTTTCGGCAGTTGAGTGTTACGTTTATGTGAGTCTATCCATATGACCTATCCGTACTTTACTTAAGAATGAACGTCTAATAAATCCTTACACGCGTTAAAAAGTTGAAGATCTGTAGTCACTTTGGAAATTTTGATAGACCCAAATTACATGAATTATTTTTTCGGGCGGTTGATTATGAACACTGAAATCCGCAAGGAACTCACTGTTATTTCAAGAAAAGCCGGTAACTCAGCGTAGTTCATGGTCGCCAAAACTGCGCAGTAGTTTTACTAAAGAAAATGTCACTTAGGCCAGAAAACGTGATGTGTTTATGATTACATCTGATAATCATATTCTAATTCATAATTCACAGCTTGACTTCTCGGTATGTGACCCTATAAAAACTATCATTTCCGTGACGCCCCTACCCGGGACCTCAAGCGACAACCTGTCCGTAGTAGTCAATCACATGTTGAATAATTTCCAACGGGAAAAAGTGCATCTCTATCTCGCGACATCGTTGTAAAACACATCAAGCATCGTGTAGTTAACCGGTCGCCATACTGCATATAACAACAATTTATGGGGGATAGTTAAACCATGGATTATCCAAACGTGTTGTTTAAACCATTATTGTGTTTATGCAGTTTTTCTGTTCATTTTTGCATGAGAAGGTCTTCTACACTTTTGAGGATTACGCTTGCTCTTTTGAAACAAGACATCCCTTTCTTGGAGTTTCTGCTTTTCTTATTCCAACTGATATTACCGGATAAATTAATAATAATTTAGACAGTTCTTGTGTTTTCATATGATCGAGGATTCCTCGTTTTTGATTAGGTGTTTGGTCAATACAGTTACACCGGTTTTCTGTCGGCCAAAAATTTTTCATGAATTTGGGCACTTTTCACGATTTGCGTTTTCTACTGCGCTTCTCATAGAACGGCCCATTGTTTATAAGACAGGGTACAATTAGCCTCAAAAGTGCTGCACTGAAATCTCAACACCATTCTCTCGGAGGTGTCGAGCTACTTATTCGATTGACAGGTAATCTGATAAGGAGGCAAATTAGGCAACGAGGTTAGTCAATAAAATGCACTAATCAGGACTTACCTCAAGATCCCATTTCTTCTGAAGAAATGCATGCAAGTTTTCGATGTTTCATTGCGAGCACCTATTTAGGTAACGTAATTGTACGTTTAACCACTACACAGGAATTCGCATAATTAGTCCTACAAGTGGCGCTATGATCATGAGCTGCGATTCCGTATGTTACGACAGGCGCTCATCGAGCTTCATTGACATGGAGTTATCGAGACTTGTATCTTGTGACGGAATCCATGAAACGCGATGTCGAAAATTGAAACGATCATTTTGGGACATCTATAACGTTGTGCACTTTACTCATCTGACTAATCCGCTTTGAAAAAGTTCTTTCGCAGAGAATGCTTCAAAGTAATATCATCTGTGAAGATGTTTATAAATTAGAGCTTAAATCAACTTTACTTTATATTTGGGCAATTTTCAAATCTAATAACTGTCCTAGGCCAAGTGTGCGCATCACTGCATGTCTATCTACGAGAGGACAGTAATATAAACTGGGAACTCATTAAACCAAGTTTCGCCAACCTAGAAATTGGCTTTTGTTCCACACAAGTTAATTGGAGCAGGATTTGAACAAGCAGGGTATGTTCAGGAAAGCATAGTCCTTTTCAAGTTTAAAAAACTGCCTTTGTAAGTCTATGCAACTTTATTTATCTAAAAAGCCCTAATAACGCCTATAGGCAATTCCTTGGCTTAACGCACCCCCATTCTCCTGGTATATGAAAGTTTTCCATAAGAAATCGCGGTAAGGCAAGGATAATGAAAACGGCTCCGATTTAAGGAGAAATGTGGGTTTTTTCGTCTGTGGCAAAAACACTATCAATGCTTTTCATGGAAGCGAGGAGTGAACAAAAATTTCCAATTTGTTTCGGGAATTTACCTCGCAGAAGATAAAGTAGCGAATATTAGCCAATAAAATACCGTATAAAAACACGCTTAAAGATATAAGGCACTAGAGAAGTGTTTTAGTCTATCAAGAGCGTATTTATCTCAGATCTTCGTTGCGGATGTTTTTTAATGTCAGCGACGTGGTTTTGTATTCAGTGGGTCAGCAAATATGGCCCTCACGGCCATTTACATGAAAAGGGACGCCCAAGGACTCACTATTTCAGTAAGTGTTTTTAATAAATATTTTATATTGGAGATTCCGATAAACGCAAATCATGGAGCCTTTTTTCGGGCAGCCGATTACAACACTGAAAACCGCAGTGTTCACGGATATTTTGAGGACCCTCTGTAACTCACTGTTGTCTAGAGTCGTTAAAAATGATATGATAATTTTGCTGAAAATATTTCTGTTGCTACTTAGAAAGCAGTATGCTTACGACGGCATTCGTTAATTCCTTTCAGATTTACCAGTCACTGACAAACCTCTCAACATAGAACCTTATGGAAACGTTTATTCCTGTAATGTTTCTATCAGCAAAATCAAGCGAAATTCCTACTGATTTCAGTAACCGCATCTAACTGTGCAAAGCAGAAGACTTCTGTCGACCTCTAGCAACAAGCTTTTGAAAGACATAACAAAGCATTCTGCGTTTAAGTATTGGTCATATGTCACATAATACAAACTCATGGAACGCATGTACTGTAAGCATAAGCAGAAAACAAATTTTAAACGTTATTGTGTTGATACTGTTTTCATAGACAGACTTTATGTGCTTCCAAAAGTTCAGTCCACCTACTTGACAGTTTTCGCGTTTTCCAGCATTTAAGCTTATCCTGAGGAAAAGCCATTTCTAGCTAATGAAGTAATATTTCGGAAACATTCTTGCATTCTCACATAATAAAGTTCGTTCGCCATTTGTTTGGCCTTTAGATGCACGTGGATTGGTTTATGACTGATAGGCCATTTTTCGTTAATTGCGAGTTCTTTCATAAGTTAAGCCGCTTGCTATGTGCGTCACTCGAGGGAGTTTATTTACCTTCTTTCACGGCCTGACGAGTAACAGCGTTCGGAGCCAAAAATTTGTTGGTCAACTGGGGTGGTGGGCCTTACGAGATAATATAATAAAAAAGAAGGTTCTTTGAGAAAA